CGCTTAAAACGCATTTCCCCCCCCCCCAACAGTTCTACCCCCTCTTTGAGCAGCAGGAACTGTCTTCTGCTGGTGGAATGTCCCTACCAGGGGCTCATGAGGTCAGGTGCAGGGTGGTGGGCAAGGAGAGCAGCGTTTTTCTGCTCCACTGCTACCGTGACTACCCCAGCATGCCTTGATACTGGGTGCTGACACGAGGCAGGCTTTCCACAGTGCCTCTCCACTCCTTCCCTAAAGCCAGGCCTGGGCCTGGATCCCTCCAATCCTACACAAAACTAGGAAAAGAGAAATCTTTGCCATTTTTTCCCAGTCAACTCCCAGCAAGGCTCATCTATATTCTCTTGTATTTAAGTTAAGAGAAACACTGCTGGAAAAGGAAGAAGCTGAACTTTCAGTTACTCTGAACTGGCAGATGTCCTGACTTCAGCAGAGCAGAGCAGCAAAATGGCCAAGAGAAGACTAGATGGCCTCCTGAGGTGTCTTTTGCTATATGCCTGTAATAAAACCCCTCACCCTGCATCAGGGGCTTTACTGTGCATCCTGCTACATACAAAGGGCAGCAAAAAGAAAACCGACTCCTCTTTTCTTTGTGCAGTCACAGGCAGAGTCCAACTACTTAGTGTGCAGTAATGGGAGCAGTTCACCCAGACCCAGGCTGGATGGATGCTTCCTGCTCCCTTGAGCTTGACACATAAAGTCCTAGGGCTGATCACGACTCCAAGCAGAGGGTCAGCTCCTCTGTTGCTAGGGAAAGATGCCCATCATCAGCTCCCCAGTTCTGCTGTAGGTGACCACCACTTTCTGTAACAAGGAACTGGGGAGAACCAAAGGGTTTTTACTGGTGTCATGAAAGAAAGGCTGTTGGAAGCACCAACGTAATAAGGGTGGGCACGGCCCTGTGAGCTGGAGCAGGTTACACCTCCCAGCCTGACCTGCTCCTTCTTCCCAAGAGCAATCCCTGAGCAGATGAAATGCTCACCAGCCATCGGACCCGCTCCCCTGTGCCTGAGCCCACCTCCTGACATGGCTCTTTGCTGTCACCACTGGGCACAAAATCCCCTTTCCTAGTTAACATTCAGCGAGCGGGGCTCTCTTCTGCCTGCCACTGCTGTTCTTTAATTAGAGATTGACAGGCTGATTAGCACTCTGGGCTACACAAAGATCAGAAAAAGCAAGAGAGATGTTGTCCTTTTCAACAGGCTCATGTTTGATACCTTCTGCTGCTGGGGGAAAGGAGAAAGAAAAGAAGAATATGAAAAGAAGGATGTGTTTCAGTCCCCGATGTGATTTTTTCCCAGGAGGGTTCCTCATCGGGCTGCCCTCCCTTTGAGAACACTACTTTGGTTGCATGTCTCTCTTTTTTTCATGTCATTCTTGGATTCAATAACGTAGTATTAGGCTGAGGCCAACAATTATGTATTACATAATTAAGGGCACCACATCTTGATTGAAAAGCCCCATAAGTAACAAGAATGGGAAGACATTCAAAAGGACAGTGTTCATTGTAGTTCTCAATTATATGTATTTTTCCCTCCATGTAAATTTAATACTCTTGAAACCTGCCAAAGTGGAAACCCACGGGAATCTCTGGTAGAACTGTCTGGGTATCTACATAAACCAAAGTAAGCTGTTTAAATGGCAAGTTAAAACTCATTCAGGCCGATGAGCAAGGCTCTCTCCTGTGCCAAACATCGCAATGATGATGGGCCTTGTGGAAATCATCTCTTTATAGTACTGCTGTGTGTGTACATATGTAGATATTACCCACTAACCTTTGAGATCTGTAACTTTCTCTCAGAGGGCAACAGCACAAGGGGGGACTGAGCGTGTAAAGGCTGCCCAGGATGGGCTCTGTCTGGCCTGTTTGAAGTCTGATCCAGAGGAGACTTTGTGGGCTGTTCTGAACCCGCTCCAGCTAACTTCTTGTGCTGGTTTTGCCTGTCTGCCTTTAAATGTCACTGTTTTGATCTGAGGGTATTTAACTACAAGGAAGGGGAGGATGCTGAGCGAAGGGAAATAGATGTTGAACATCAGGAAACACTTCATAACAAGGAGAGCTCTCAGACACTGAAAGGTCTCTGTGGGAGGCGGTGGAAGCCCTACATTCTGTGCCATTAAAACCTGAAAGGACAAAAGGCACTACAGAATTCGGGGTAGGCAGGGGCAGCACCTCTCCAGGCCTGTTTATGTGTTGGAAATTCAGGTTACAAAATAAAGAAGTGAGTCATAGGTGGCAACAGGCCAAGCCAGGCTCTTCGGTCAGGACCACGCTCCTACGAATTATACAGGAACACATTTCAAAGTGCTGGGGATTATTTCTCATTTACAGCAGTCAGTGAGATCAGAATCTTCCCTTAAGAATCTGCTCAGTCATTACTTGTATAAAGCTGCCAAAGCTGCCAATAATTCCTTAAGACTTCATGCCCTGGCTGCCACAGCTTATCTGCTGCCACGAGAGTCAGGGTCCCATTGGCAAGTTAAACCCTCAGCCCCTGCCTATGTGACTTCTTGGGGAAAAAAATCTAGCTTTGGTTAACTCAAGGATATTCACATTTTTCAAACACTGACCCTGAAATTCACCTTCACGAGGCCATGCAGAAAATCTTGAGGGATAAAAATGAATCCTGAAACACGCAGGCACAACTCCACGGGATTCAGTAAAATCCCTTCTGTTTAAATTAGCTAGGACATGCCCCCTGCTTCCTCTCTTTGTTTTAGGATCAGCGATATGTACACAGGCCCAGTAACACCCTCTCCTTGCAAGAAAAATGTGTGCACACACTTTGTATACAAGGATGTTTCAAATATCCACTCACTAAACATGTGTTGTTTGGTTTGGGGGTTTTTGTTTCTTCTTTAAAAGCCTTTTTCCAACATCTCATCGCAAAACACAAGTGAATTTAGAGATGAAAATGCAATTTGCAATCAGAGAATCAACATGCTTGGTCTAGAGGTGTTGTGGAAAACCAGACACTGCATCAATGAAAGATCTCAGTGTGCTTAAACATTTAGTGTCTGCTGCTGAAATAATTCAAGTGCACCATCAGAGAGTAGAAGACCATGATGCCAGTTCATCTTTGCTGGAGGAAACCAGTTGACAGTGACCTGCCATCAGCTTCGTGCTTCTGCAAATGCTTATCCAGTTTATTACCAAGTGCTCACTGAAACAGAGAGAAGACACAGAGGGACAGAAGAGGAGCACTTCTGGGTAGAGCAATAGGGCCACAGAAGGATGGGAGAGTAATGGTGTGGGTTATGCTGAGAGTAATGCTGAGTGGGGTTTCTGGAGGTTAGCAGCTTGGGTTTGCGATGCCTAAGGAGTATCTGCACACATCTAGGACAGATCTAAGCATCTGGCACTGCTTTTGATTTCTCCCACATTATACCAGTTCACTCCTGAGTATTCTGGGGTTTGTGCATCCTTCTGACCATTACACAGACATCTGTGAAGTGGGGGCTGGGTCTGATGATTCAGAAGTTACTTTCAGAGGAAAGAATCAAGCAGTGAAGTCCTCTGCTGGACCCAGCTCTCATCCTTTAGTATTCTCATCACAACTCTATGACTCTTCTTGATCCAAAATACAGAACAGAAATGGCAAGAAGGTTGTTTTGCTGTGAATGAGGGCAGTAGCTATATTCCCATCAGATCTGAGTGGTTTTGCTAGATTATGAGAAGCTGAAGGACATTGCTGTAATATTGTGCTTAAATTTTGGAGTAGTTGAAAAAAGCCTGAAGGAATGATTTGGCAAGTTCCTGAGGATAGGATAGAGATAAAGAATGGGTACTGCTAAGCACGAATGAATTATCAAGGATATGGCTAAATAAAAATGAATTATCAACTGAGCTAATGGAATAGAAAAAGAAACTGCTATTCCACAGATCCTATACAGAGGTCACCTTGGCTTTCCATTCACACATGAATATTCACTGACTTGGAATTGATCTGTCCTTAATCTAGGTTTATTTACAATGAGGGCCACGGTATTTCTTACCAATGACACACATCAGCTCATCACATGGACCACTCTGGAGGCTGAAGATCTATCTGATGGTCCTGTGCCTCCTTGAGAGCAGTTTCTAGTGCTGAAAATGAGCCTGCGTGTCAGCGCGAGAGGTTCCCTCACAGTAAGCAATGATAAAACAATCAAGCAAATCATCTGCCATGACTTAACAAACAGCTCTGACTGCTGCATTTGTGTGTTCCAGCAAGAGATCCCAGCCCAAATCCAACCTTCATCACAGCAACGGAACTAATTCAGTCAAGGAGGATACACAATCAGGAGGTGATGCACCTGTGCTTCCCTGCCTCTCCTCCAGCCTTCCTAGGTCTTTTCTGGAAAAATCCTAATTAAAGGATTAATGCATCTTTCCCATTAGCTAATTTACATAGTATGAGCTCATTGACCTGAATGGGGAGTTATTCCAGATCTTCATGACTGTGAGGAAGAAAACAGGCTGTTCCATCACTATACATATCTACTTGCTAGACACATGGACCGATGACAACACAAAGCATTTGTCCTTGCTCTGCTTCAAAACCCTATTTACAGATCACATTCATACAAAGATTTTTACAACATCAGCGTGAAAAGAACAGGAGAACATAATTTTAGGATGCCTTTTTTGTTAAGACATGGCAAAAATGCCAGAGACTGAAGGCCTGCTGGTGAGGAATCCCTCTGCTGACTTTGCCTTGCCTGTGTTTCTCAGCTCCTTAATTACATGATCAGTACATACAGGGTTGCTTCAGAAATATCTTTGAGTGGGTACTCATTTTAAATGTGCAAATAGCAGCTCTAACTTCAGCATAATGTTTTGCTTTGTAACCATAAAGCAGCTTCAAGAAGAGTTTTCTCTATTTTCTTAACTTGTCACAATTTCTAGGC